TGTGTAGGTTTTCAATTAAACGACAATAATAATTCCAAGGCAAATGAAGAAAACCATCTGGCCACCCTGCATGAATATGGTTATGTTGTTCTCAGTTTTAAAGCAAAGCTCTATACATTGCTGTTGCTTCATTATATACTAAAATTGTTCAGAGTGTAGATATCAGATGAACGTTTTGTTACAAACAACTGATGTTGACCTGTCAATGACTCGCGTTATTTGCGTTTATCAGCTGAACCGCAAAAAAGAAAACAACAGTTACTTTGCCTCATACTGCTCTTGCCTTGCCGCAGTTAAAAGTTAGCGTCTAGCGTGGCGTAATTGAATTTTGTTTAATCCGTGTATAATCTGTCGTTTTGTGAACATGAAGTACTGTGTGATCCAGTTTAAAGATGGGTCGAAAAAAGTAGTGCCGATGAGTTGGATATACTGTGAAAACGTGAAAATAAATAAAAAATATCCGACATATTTTAACACGGATATGACGAAAAAGGCTCCGGAGAATCCGGCCATGTTGAAAACATACAAGGAGGGTGATCGTGATAAGTGTAATTGTTTGCACATAGTTTATGTTGTTAACATTGCAGGTATGTTTTGGTAGCAAGTACATCTGGTTATGTAAATAATTTAATTTACATATTTAATTATCATAGATATTGCCTGTTTCTTTAGAAATTCCCGAAATAAAAGCTACACTGATAAAGTTCTACACATTTTTATTGACGAATTTCCATGCGAAATTCCACATGATTTTCATGTGGCCACACATAAACAGAATTCACTCGGAAGTACACATGAAATTTATGAGTCAACTCAATAGTATGTTTGGTCACACATGGTTTTTATGTGTACACATATTAAGTATTAGAAATACTCAGAGAGAGGGATGGGCGGAGAAAACAAGGTACAATTCGTCAGCAGGGTTTTGTATGTATTTTATCTTGCAACCCTTGCTAGAAGCTAGTATTTCACATGAATTTTCTTTTTGATTCGCAGCAGATTTAGGATCTGATCGATTGCGATTTGTCGGAATACCGTGATCACCTGGGTGCAGATCGGGTAATGCACAATGAAGAATGACCCAGATTTTGGTGCACCGCTGGCGTCAACTGAGTCTTTTGATTCACGGTACCATTTATGAGCCGGTTAGTGTTGCATACCCGCATAAACGCGAACCATAAATTGACCTTACCTAAAATGGTTAAAAATTGTTTATAATCCTTGCTAAACTTTAACTGAAATGGTTATGGAACTTTACATGAACGTTTAATGATAAAGTTTCAACCTTATGTATTATGGTTTTTTGGAACTGGACCTTACAAATAATGGGTTGTTAAGAACCATTACCATTCCAAATTCTTGTTTTCTCCATACATTTTACATAGGCATCTTTTAACTTTTTATGTAATTTTATTATGTGTTTTTGGGAAGAGTTCAACCGAAAACCAGCATAAAATTTAAACATGGAATTTATTTGTAGATTCCTGGAAAAGTAAGAGAATTTCATTTGGGCTTTTGAATTGCCACCCTGAAATTGTAGATAAACAATTAATAATTCCGTTAGTCGACGAAAGTGCCTCGAAAGATCTTTTTCATGTTGTCACCCAGTTGAATCGATGTGAAGGTCCTTTCGTTAAGGTCCCTTTTAGCTGAGTCTCAATCAATTTTATTGCACGAACTCAAATGTGAGCTTAAATGTGTAGTAATCAATATGTAGTTATTTGCTGCTATACAATGAATACAATTACAATACAATTCAAGGTAAGCCTTTTCAGTACATTTTGTGAGAATTTATGTAATTTTGGACCTGCAGGTGGATGCTTCAATTCGATACTGATAGGATTTTAAACTTTCCACTATGAACATTGCGCTGTTTAAGATCCAAGCTTATCCACATTTATTTTCTCTAGAACCGTCATTTCATTTTCAATTTCCGCGGCGGACATCACCAAGAATCAGTGATTCACTTCAAATGAAAAAAACTGCAGTATGGTCAATGTTATAAATACATTTTATTATAAAGATTTAAGGGGCTGTTCATTAACTACGTAGACAGTTTCTTGGGATTCTTGACCAATAAATGTTTTTTTTTTAAATAATTACCTGCCGGTTCAGTAAGAGTTTGGGCCAGAGGTGGCAACAGTACATTTTTTTTTGCAAAACCATCGTCCAGAGCAAAAAAAAAACCGCCAGCGCACGGGCGGTCGTGTATTTCTACAATACAAACAAACGGCGGAGATAGAGAATAGGAAAAATGTCGTAGCGCATTATTTTTCAAACAGTTTATTGAAATTCCATTTTAGCTGCAAGCTTTCGTGTCACAGTAAATTATTAACTCCCTTATTTACGCATAATTTTAACATCTAAGCTTATGAATGGTTAGTATTCGTTCTTAATTTATAATTCCATGCAGTAAACATCAAATAAATGCTGTAATTATCCAGAAATCAGCAAAATTCTACATGACATAAATTTTTGACGCACGCGCCACTGGTCTTGTCTGCTTCATTAGGTTTTGCACCGTCGGGGTTAACCTCAATATGATGACAGTTTAGTGGTACTGTTTACGTGGACTTAGCCGATTTTTTCTTGAGTGGATTTTCTCGATAATTTTTCAGACTGCAGTGAGATGTAAACCACATTTCTGCAATGTTCACGAGCAACATACTTGCAATGCGCTGTTCCTCGACAATTTTCAAGTTAAAATTCGGAAATATTAGATTTTTTTTTTCTTCGAAAAAACGACTAAGTGCTTGTAAACAGTACCACTGAACTGTCAAAAAGGTTCAGCCGATTAACACTGAGTTCATTCGTGACGTCACGCTGCAGTACCTAATTTTTTCTCGAGTGAGTGAACTCAAATCCATCGTTGCACTCGTCCATACCGGATCGATAACCCTAATGTTAGAACTATTCCACTAATGGTTTGGATGATACCCTGAACACGTCGTTAAGCAAAATAACCATGCAAATTTTATTAGGGTGGCATGGACAAGTTGCTTGCTAATTAGGTTTTGCACCGTCGGGGTTAACCTCAATCTGATGACAGTTCAGTGGTACTGTTTACGTGGACTTAGTCGATCTTTTCTTGGGTGGATTGTCTCGACAATTTTTCAGACTGCTGTGAGATGTAAACCACACTTCCGCAATGTCCACGACCAACATCCTATCAACGCGCTGTTCCTTACTCCTTTGGTTTGTTTTTTCCGTCGATCTTGTTTTCCGTGCTGAGCACCAATGCTACCGACGTGCCAGGAAGGCAGCTCCCACACCTGGACCCTACCTATCGACCCATCAACTCATGAACCGGGGACCAACGGCTTTACTTCCCATCCGAAGGAAGGCGTGATCAGAGATGTTATGCCTCAGAACATCCCGGCGGCGCCGACTGGGATTGAACCCAGGCCTGCTGGGGTGAGAGGTAATCACGCTTACCACTACACCACCGGCGCCGTTGCGCGCTGTTCCTTGACAATTTTCAAGTTGAAATTCGGAAATTTTAGAATATTGTTTTTCGAAAAAAACGACTAAGTGCTTGTAAACAGTACCACTGAACTGTCAGCCGATTAACACTGAGTTCATTTGTGACGTCACACTGTAGAACCTAATTAGGTTTTGCACCGTCGGGGTTAACCTCAATCTGATGACAGTTCAGTGGTACTGTTTACGTGGACTTAGTCAATTTTTTCTTGGGTGGATTTTCTCGATAATTTTTTAGACTGCAGTGAGATGTAAACAGCATTTCTGCAATGTTCACGAGCAACATCCTTGCAACGCGCTGTTCCTCGACAATTTTCAAGTTAAAATTCAGAAACTTTAAAAAAATTTTTTCGAAAAAACGACTAAGTGCTTGTAAACAGTACCACTGAACTGTCAAAAAGGTTCAGCCGTTTAACACTGAGTTCATTTGTGACGTCACGCTGCAGAACCTAATTAGGTACTGCAGCGTGACGTCACGAATGAACTCAGTGTTAATCGGCTGAACCTTTTTGACAGTTCAGTGGTACTGTTTACAAGCACTTAGTCGTTTTTTCGAAAAAAAAATATTTTAAAATTTCCGAATTTTAACATGAAAATTGTCGAGGAACAGCGCGTTGAAAGGATGTTGCTCGTGGACATTGCAGAAGTGTGATTTACATCTCACTCTAGTCTGAAAAATTATCGAGAAAATCCATCCAAGAAAAATTTGACTAAGTCCACGTAAACAGTACCACTGAACTGTCATTAGATTGAGGTTAACCCCGACGGTGCAAAACCTAATTAGGTTCTGCAGCGTGACGTCAAGAATGAACTCAGTTTTAATAGGCTGAACCTTTTTGACAGTTCAGTGGTACTGTTTACAAGCACTTAGTCGTTTTTTCTTAAAAAAATTTCTAAAATTTCCGAATTTTAACTTGAAAATTGTCGAGGAACAGCGCGTTGCAAGGATGTTGCCCGTGACCATTGCAGATATTTGGTTTACGTCTCACTGCAGTCTGAAAAATTATCGAGAAAATCCATCCAAGAAAAAATCGACTAAGTCCACTTAAACAGTACCACTAAACTGTCATCAGATTGAGGTTAACCCCGACGGTGCAAAACCTAATACACAATTTACAATTTTCAGAAAACTTGGCTCAAGCTACAGATGCGATACAACAAAAACGGATTGCAGTTAAACCACGAAAAATCCAAACTGATTCTGACGATGTTATCAGTCAATTGCCAACTAAGAGACCAAAAAGAGATAATAACTCACTACTTCATAAAACGGCGAAACATCTAAATGAAGACTATCTGACTGCATTTGTATCTATCAACCCATCTTCAACAAGCACCAATTTGTCAAAGAACTTGAAGGATCCGCTTCACTTGAGCCTAACACCATCAATGCAATCAAAAAAAACGTGCTCAATCCCTTCAAAATCGTTTGAAGACCGGGCAGTTGGCAAGAAAGCTCAGCAGTTGTCCAGTTCAATTCACTTTTCACCTTCGGATTCATTCTCGCTTCAATCAAACAGATCTAGGGCGATTTCCCCAATGCCACACGAAGAACTTGTCCAGTTGTCCAGTTCAAATAAAAACTGGGTGCACGCATCGACGAGACAAAGCCACATTTCACCGCAGGTAGTATTTATTTTATAATTGTTCAAATTTTCATATGATCTTAATGTTTATCACTATATACTAGATTGGCAGAACATCATCGCTTAACCCGATTACAGCTTGCCTTCAGTCGTCAACACCGTCACCTTCGGATTCGGTATTAAGTTCTGTGACTTCATCTTCAGATTCATCATTAAACACTGTACCGTGTACTCCAGAACACCGAGTGAACGTATCACGGCAACTTAACTATGGTCCACGGAAGGTAATGTTTATTTTGAAATTGTTTGAATCTTCTTAATTTATATTGTGTATACTACTCGTATAGCCCAGTCAGTAAATGCATGGTATTATTAAACCGGAGGCGGTGGGAACGATTTCCAGTTCTGCCTAGGAAATTTTCTCGACTTGTTCACTATCATTGTACTACCACACAATAATATAGAAAGCTCTCAATTAATAACTGTGGGACATACGACTTTACTGAATAGGCTATAAGACCCCAACTTGGTTGAACCCCTGCGAAAAATTATACAAAGTTTTATGGAATTAGAAGTAAAGTTAATTAGGCATTAAATGATATTGTTTTCAGCAGGGTATATATTTTTTTTTATCATCTATAATTTACCGTTTTATTACCGTAATTACAAATCAATATAATAATAAACATGTCTAGCACACAATGCATACATAAGTGCGGCGCATAATGGGTACAAGTTGCGTTTGCGTTTTTTGTTGTTATATCTTTATTAAGGAGACTTTCAGACCTGAGCTGGTTCGTCTCCGGATACCCCAGAAGGGGGCATCCCTAAGGGAGAGAAGGTATAGCGTTTGCGTTTGCGTGTATTTTACAGTTCAAGAGCAAATTTTCATTACGTCGAATGTAACAAAGGTAAACAAAGTCGAGCTATCAGTGTCAATCGATGCTCCTGCTATTACACTATATACTGTCCGAATATAGGATCACATCCCATTTTTAAATTTATTTAACAGTCAAATTGCTTTTTGACGTAATCACATTCCGATCAAAATAGTTTTCAATGTTACTTAAGTCACCCGATTTCTGTGGAGATGCCGTTTGCCAAGGTTCAATTTACTTTGATGCATTTTCGAAAAATTCAAAAGCAGTTTTTTTCGACGCATTCTTTCAGATTGCTAAAAGCTCGCGTCATTCTGTGTAGAATAGCAAAAGGAATCGAATAGTGCGAGCATTTTGCAATCTGGACTAATGCGTCGAAAAAAACTGCTCTTGAATTTTTCGAAAAAGCATCAAAGTAAATTGAACCTTGAGTAACAGCACTGAGAAACCCGTGAAAAGTGTACTTTCGTCGTTTCGCTTTCTCATTATTAAAGTGAATAAATCGAACTGTTTGTTGCTAAGATGATTTCGGTGGTCCTAAAATGATAAATGGGCTGCAAGTAAGGAGACGTAATTGATAATTCTCTCGAATATCCTGGTAAATAAACATTGACTTAAGTAACAATAGGGGCCACCAAACGACGTATAATAACTTTTGACTCAAAAACCAGTATTTCTTAGCATGAAAGCTAGCGATTTGCATTTGTATGATTAAAACCCGGCTAAATATGTTTAACATTGCTATCACTATGAGATTATATGTGTTTACTTGGAAATAGGAATAACTTTTCGGTCATCAAAACAAAACTTTATTTTCCTCGGATCGGTACGAATGTTACTTACGACATAATGAAAATTTGCTCTTGAGTTAACACATGGGTTATCTCCCGCATAAACGCGAACCATCACATGACCTTACCGATAATGGTTATAAATTGTTTATAATCCCTGCTAAACTTCAACTGAAATGGTTATGGAACTTTACATGAACGTTTGTGTGATAATGTTTTAACCTTATGTATTATGGTTTTTTGGAAGCGGACCTTACAAATAATGGGTTGTTAAGAACTATTACCATTCCAAATTCTTGTTTTCTCCATACATTTTCGGAAAGAGAACTATATTAGAACGTTTTTACTTATGGTTTGAGAACATTAATGGTTATGGTTATGGTAGTCAGTAAGGTCCATTAATGGTTTTGTATTATCGCTCAACTTTACGTGAAATATATCGTGAATTGGTAATCAGTAATTTACAGGTAACCAATTCGCGATATATTCCACATAAAGTTTATCGATTTTACAAAACCATTCATGGACCTTACTGGTTACCATAACCATTACCATTAATGTTCTCAAATCATAAGTTAAAAGGTTTTAGTATAGTTTTCTTTCCGAAAATGTATGGAGAAAAGAAGAATTTTGAATGGTAATGGTTCTTAACAACCCATTATTTGTAAGGTCCACTTCCAAAAAACTATAATACTTAAGGTTAAAACTTTATCATTAAACGTTCATGTAAAGTTCCATAACCATTTCAGTTGAAGTTTAGCAGGGATTATAAACAATTTTAACCATTTTAGGTAAGGTCAATTTATGGTTCGCGCTTATGCGGGTTGTCAAACTAATAACGAATTCGTTTATTATTCAGTTCCAACCTGGATCGGGTACCAAGATTGGGTCTGCTTGTTTTCTGACAAACGTCAGTTTGCTCGTTTGTTTTTAAAACCTAGCTCAGGTTGAGGTTCACACTGACAAAAGGTTCGGTTTCGCACTGGGTTGGAACTGGTGTTAACCCCGATAATAAACGAATTCGCTATAAATATCGTCAACGGAACGCAAAGGTATTCATTGTGCGCCGCACTTTAATTTACACTGTGTGCTAGACATGTTTATTATGATTTTGATTTGTAATTATCAATTCGGATCATTTCTAGCTTCCACGTGTTTCCGGGATTGTCGGTGAAGTCAACAATGGCTGGCCACAAGAACTTCAAAACGAACAGTCTGCTACAGGCCGCCAAAGCCGGACGCCATCATCGCGGTCCATCACCTTGGCTGAAGAATCTCCGCAGGTAAAATTATCGTCGAGTCACTAAAACTCAGGATTAAAGCAACTTTTCACGGATGATAATGATAATACCAACAATCAATACGAAACTAACAATTTTAAATTGGCTCACCACTTTAGTAGCCTATTGGTCCCAAGCAAACGATTAACGTACCCTATTCTTGTCGAAATTCTAGTACTACGCAATGTTTGTTTTGATTCGCTATGAAAGTTTGACAGATGAAATGAGGGGTTATTGGTTTTTCCTATGTTTCGAGGGGTGAATCGATTAGCTTGGGACCGAAGAGAGTACCAGAGCTGAGCCAAAAAGTTGAGCTCGTTTCTTCGGGACTTTCTGGTCTTAGAGTTACCTCTATGATAATACTGCTTTAATTCGGTTGTTTTTTAAACAACCGATATGATTTTTGAATGTGGTTAATCTAGGGTGGGCACTAATTACAAAGGTGGTATCATATTTCCCGGAGTGACATTTCGCAGAATGCATTTTCACTGTACACTGTTTCACTGAATACAAAGAAGGGAAATACTCAATTCTTTATTAAAATATTCTTAAAATGAAATATTTCCATCTTTACCAAAGTATTGAATATTTCCTTCTATATTAAAATGTTCAAAGAATGAAGCATTCTTTTCCTTATTTTTTTTTTTTATTATTTAAAGGAGGAAATATTACCTTCCATATTCAAATATCTTCTTCCTTTCAAAGTATTGAAAGAAAACAAAATTCCATTCTATTAAAATATTCAACGAAGGAAATAATATTTTCTTCGCAATAAAAAAATAAAAGAAGAAAATACCCTCCCGTAGGCCATTCTTAAGGCCGGCGCACAATGCATAAGTTTTCGGGTTTTTTTGACAGATAATGCATGAGCTAACTGTTAAAAAAAACCTGAAAACGTATCTATTGTGCGCCGGCCTTTAAGCACCTTGTCGAAGGTGGAAAGGCTTAAGGTCCAAGCGCAATGACAGCGGAAGCGGAACGGCAGCGGGAAAGTCCGATCTGAGTAAGCCTACTTGTCGGATTGAAAACTAGTTAGAAACAAATCGACATCGGTTGGGTTTCTGGATGTCATTTGTGACAACTGTCAAACTTTCCGTTTCCGTTCCGCTTCCGTCCACATTACGTTTGGGCCATTAATCTCATGCTGTAAGATTGCATGGGAAACCAAGACAGTGGCCTAAAGTGATGGTATCACACATTCTTTTCATTCATCTATTAGCCACGTTGTATTACCTACGTTTATATAAGGCAGGTGTGATGCCAGCGGGTTTTGCCGCAATTCACGCTTAAATTCAACGTTAAAAACGCAACGTCAAGGTTAAAAATGTAAAAAAAAATTAGGTTAAACATCTAAAAAGTGCATTTTTCAATTGCGTGGCGTACTTTCATTGTTTTTCATTAAATAATTAGCAATTAATGCATAACCGAAAATACCTATATTGCAGTTGGTATCATAAATAATTTATGCATTGCTTCATTTTCGAAAAGGGTGAATACTTCTGTTATGGCTCTGCGTCCTGTTATGTGTTCGGTTGTGGTATTTGGGAATACCATTTACCATGACAGGGTCCGTTGGGATGGAGTCAGGTGGCCGTGATATAACTATTGACCCTATATAAAATATACTTTAAATAGGAGACTAATCTCGGAATGAAGCATTTTATCACAGAAAAGTGTTACTTAAGACGGACGAAGACAAGATAAATTTTGCGGATCAATGTAGAAAGGAAGCATAATAAAGAGACAGAGAGAAATCGAGAGAGAAATACATATTACTTTTAGGCTGATCTCGTAGGAAGAATAGGTTGCGGGTGGTCCGCATAGGTTGGCAATTATGCCTTAACTATATAGAATAAATCTCCCCATTTAGTTTATTTGTAGTTATAAGCAATAGTGGAAGTTGTTATTTCAACCAATACAAATATTAATCAGATCTTCGATGTTTGCTAACAAGTGAAAAATAGGGAAGAAATAAAATTTAATAAGTAATGATTGCATGAGGCTGATCAGGAACTTTTTGATTTTGTGTTCAGATTGTTATGCAATTATCAGTATCTGGTAGGGGGATATTGTAGCTTCTCACAGGTATTAGCTTGAGTTGGGTTTGATTAGATCAGAATATACCCTGCATTATTATTTGTGCCGATAAGCATAAATTGCATAGGAGGGAACTTTGTTTAATTTAGAATAAATACTGTTTGAAATTATCGAGAACAAAGTTTAAAAACCTCAAAAGTTTAAATCAAATTTGGAAGTTATAAGATAGTATGCATAACTTTACATAGCTGAACTAAAAAAAATAATAATAGGTTTTATTGCAGTAGGTTTTCGGTGGGGCGGGTATATTATTTAATGACCATTATCGAGCTTTTGTGCCTACTAACTAAAATGTTGTAAATATTAATTTCTTTTAATAGAATCAAGAATCTTATTATTCTCTTCAGTAATCGTGGGACTGGGAGCGTATCTTTGTTGTTCATTGCATACCAAGTGGATACCCTAATAAAAATTGTATGGTTAATTTGCTTAACGACGTGTTCTGGGTATCATCCAAACCATTTGTGGAATAGTTCAATGATTTGGGTTGTCGTTCGTTTATGGTTATTTTTTATTAGGGAACCTAATCATATTTTGCCGTGGCTTTGAGATGCTCGATGGCCCTGGAGGAATTGTTTTTGCTTACCGAGCAGAAAATCATGGGTTTGAACCCAAGCTCTCCCACAACAGAATAAACCGCCATCGCCGGGTTTCGAGAGCCTAAAGCGCCGTAATAACCAATCTTATATTGCCCCACCAAACGCTGCAAAATGAAAATGAAAATGAAATAAAAAAATACAAGAAGAAAATATTCCATTCTTTATCAAAGAAATCCAAGAATGAAATACAAAACAACTGACTAAAATCGGTATGTGTAACTTTGTTCCTGTCGCGTTCTTCGAGGGATTACTGTATTAATGCCCGATTATATTTTCTATTTTCTTAATTCAAATTTTTACTCATTTCTAGCTTCCAAGCGTTTCCGGGATTGTCGGTAAAGTCAACAATGACCGGTCACAACTTCAAAACGAACACACTGATACAGGCCGCCATAACCGGACACCATCATCGCGGTACATCACCGTGGCAGAAGAATCACTACAGGTAAAATTATCGTCGAGTAGGGTAACGTAACCTATTCTCGGCCTATGGTCCTATTTTGGGCCTAACGCTAAAACTCAGGGCAACTTTTCACTGATAATAATGATATACAATTTATTCTGTTCCATTTAAGCTGACAAATCAGGCAGAAGTTACTTCAATCTAGAGTTTAAGCATTAGGCTACACAATAGGAGCTTAAGCTGATAATAGGTTCCATTACCCTAGTTTATACAGATTGAACCCCTGAAGATATAAAGCTATAGCCATAACCGTCATTTACCCTATAAGCCGAGCCGTATATCAAGATTCTCACAATTTGTTCGTTTAATTAATATTGCATATTGTATTCCTCCGAAGAACGTGGTAGGAACAAAGTTAAACCCACTGCCTTAATTCGGCTGTTTTCTCATAACAATAGATATTATTTTTGATGTCTAGGGTGCATACTAATCACTTAGCACTAATTACAAAACAACCGAATTAAAGCGGTGGGTGTAACTTTGTCCCTACCGCGTTCTGTGGAGGAATACAGTAAATTAATGTTCGATTGCATTTTACATTTTCCTAATATACATTTTTACTTAACTTTTATCGTTTCTAGCTTCCGAGCGTTTCCGGGATTGTCGATAAAGTCAACAATGGCCGTCCACAAGAACTTCAAAACGAACACATCGCTACAGGATGTCAAAGCCGGACACCATCACCGCTGGCCTTCACCGTGGGTGTAGAATCTCCACAGGTAAAAGTATCATCCAGTAGTTTATACAAATTCTTAACACAGAATTACGACCAACTCAATGTTTAAGGTTCAATTTACTTTGATGCATTTTTTTAAAACTCAAAAGCAGTTTTTTTCGACGCATTATTTTAGATTGCAAAAAGCTCGCGTCATTTTGTGTAAAATATCAAAAGGAATCGAATAGTGCGAGCTTTTTGCAATCTGAAATAATGCATCGGAAAAAAACTGCTTTTGAAATTTTCCAAAAAGCATCAAAGTAAATTGAACCTTAATGCATTGTAAACATGCTTGATTCCCATATTCGTGATCCGTTCATGGTGTACATTTCCTCCTACCTGCGGACCGTGAACTATTGCCGTTCATGAATATGAAATTTGTTTTTATGCGTGAACTGACGGCTTCGGTAATATCTGAACCTATATCGTCAGTCTGGGTGGGAGTTGGTCTGTTCGGAGATAAACAAATATTTGAGCGCTTAATTTTGGCCAATCGAGCCACTGGTTATAAAATCGGAAAAACAACTTATTATAATTAAATAATTGCTGCACGCCTGAACAAATGACTTATATAGGAAAAAGCGAGAGAAAAACTTTCATAAATCGATTTTACACCTGTGCAGAATAGTGTATGTTGGGGTTTTAGGCGATTTTCGGTTAAAACCACAAATGTTGAAGAACTCAAAACATTGTATCGTGATGATTAAAATAAACCTCATTTGGTTTTTAATAGTAAAGCATCAAAGGAATCCAATAAATTGACCTGTTTTCTCCCAATTTTCAAATCCTAAAAATAGAAATTCATGTTTCCAAAGAGATTATATTATTAAATAAAGTTATTCTTGGATAAATTCTAAGAAACTCATAGGAATGGTTTAGTTTCATCATAACGATTAAAGAAATAGAAAGTGTTTTATTTTTAAATAAAGGATTTTGCAACAAAATCCACCTAAATCTCAACTTGCACTATTCTGCCCAAGATGAAACACAATCCAATTGATTTTTTAGGCTTTTTCCTATAAGAATTACTTTATTTAAGTCATTGATTTCAGCACGCAGCGAAGTTATTGTTTTTGTGATATTATCTCCATGAGCTTTGATACATGATGTACCGCATGCAAAGGAAAATAGCCTACATGGACTTTTTTCACCCCATGTCGACAATAGTCCCATATGCCGTGTATCGAATATATTCTTCGAATTATACTTATTTGTAAATTGATCAATTTACAAATAAGTATAATTCAAATATATTTTTTATTTTCGTTGTAGATTCGTTTTCGTGCTTCGAACACCCATGAAGAATTCGTACCAGAAACAGGATCGCTAGAAAGAGGTAATTTCTGAAAATGTTTTTTTACTGCTCAATAGGGAAAAGTGGGGTAGTTTCGCCAACTTAAGAAAATCATCATCAATCACACAAAATTCGAATGATGTTAAACATAATGGATAGTTTCAAGCCCTATTTACATCATGAATACAAATTGGGCTAAAACTGTTTGCATTTATGTATAAAACTAGGTGCAAATAATTTTCTTCCATAAAAGCACTGTTGGCCAGTGGGCAGATTGTAGACACACACACACATGAATACAAATTGAATATAAAATGTAAACTTTTGAATATTAAGAAAGAAGATTAAAAAATGTTCGGTTTGTAACCGAAATTAAACCGTTGGGGTAAAGTGAGCACTCTGTCGGGATGGTATGAACGATGGAATATCAACGATAAGTTATTTTCTGATTCAGAAATCTTATAACATTTTTGACATTTTGAGCTAGTCTAACATTTTTTGAATATTTGCACTAGAGAAAAGTAATTTTTGGTATGAAGTTTTGGTTGCTCTTGAAAATTAATAACACCGTGTTTGTGTAAAGGTCATTTATTCAACTTTCTAGGCCATTTAGTCATCTTTGAGGCTGTTTTTTTTAGATTTTTTGACGATTTTAAAGCTCTCTATGCGTTGAATAGCTGTTTTGGAGATTTGAGGTATTTTTTTGCATTTTTAAAGCTTTACTGGTGTTTGTAGCAATTATGTTTTTTTTTGTGTTCCATTTTGACGTATGTTTCTTATGGATTTTTATCTACTATAGGGCAAATGGATGTAATGTCGTCCTAAATACCCCTAATTTGGGCCCTTACATAAATTCAATAATCGACTAAATTTTCAATAGCGACCAAAAATATCCATCAGTACCGTCCCAATGACGGTTTTATCTAAATAAAATTTATAAATAGCAGATTTTTAGCGATGGGCCCAATCTTAGATCCATATGCCAACATTAGAGCCATTTCCCCTAAATTATATACAGGGAATCCGAACTAATGGTTTGTTTGTTTATTCGCCAACAGATAATTGCAAGAACTGCCAAAAAGTAAAAAAACGATTGGAGAATGCTGAAACCAGAATCCATGTACTAACCGAACTAAATTTGAATCTGCAGATGGAAAAAGTAAAATTAATGGCTCAGAACAAGGAGAAAGCACCGGTAAGTTGATGCTAGGAATTAAATCGACATTAGATAATAAGTAGGGTCATGTTATTTGTTTAGCAGGCTTTAAAAGAACGCATCACTTCCCAATGTGAATCCATATCTAATTTACCCTTCCCACTAACAAAAACGTCTTTCCCGTGATAACCGTGGAGATGCAGAGGTATACTCGGTCTCTAGTAACAACGGTTGTTCAAATAACAATCCTTTCCCTCCCCGATGACCGTAAGGACGTGGCCGGCGCCGTTATTGACCTCAAAAATAAGAATTCTCCGGATTTTGTACACTGAGAATGGATTGCTAGTCACAAGCCCCGTTCATTCATTCATTTGTGCAAATTTCGCTGAATCTGGTCAATCACGGAGTAGCAACTACTGAAATGTATGGTCATCAATGCTCAAGCTCGCAATTGTTACCAGACGTCTCCAATGATCCGAGGTACACAAAATCATCCACCACCTTGAACTCATCTCCGTTGATTGTCACATTTCTGTCTTTGCGAGCCTTATCGCGCTTGTTTCCTTCAGCTAACAAATACTTTGTCTTCGACATATTCATCTTTAATCCCACCTTATAACTTTATCCAACCTTACAAAGGTATAAGATGAAAAGGTTTATAATAAATTTCACTTATTATGGTGAAGTGCGGACAAAGTGTGGGTAGACTATACTTCAAAATATTGTTCAGTATTAACGAGGGGGACGACTCTATCTACGATGCAGGAAATATTGTGTTTTACTGTGGCTAGCTGCGCGTACGCAGATAGATAGTGTAGATAGAAAGAAGATTTATCACGATTTTGAAGATTTCCTGCAAAAAGATGATGTGCGCTGCAAGTAGAAGATTTTTCGAAGATTTATTCGCTAGTGTTAGATTTTTTGAGCATCTAGAATTGAGATTATGTGTCGCCCCCTCGAGTATTAAAGGGGTGGGAAATGTCTTTCCCAACCGCTCAAACCAAATTTATTTTAATTTATTTCATTTGCTTAATTTTTGCATGCACAACTTATTTGTAATGTTGTTTATTATATATTTGCAGTTCGTGAATAGTGTAGAAGAGTGGTTAACCCCAGAAATTGTCTTGAGAACACACATCGAAAGCCCCGCAGGATCGGAAGGGGACGGCCGATTCATTTCCGCTTTGGCAGATCACTTGTGGAACAGAGAGCAACTACAGGAGCGATCCGTGAAGGGGAAGATGTGTAATTTGCATCCAAAAAGTGGAACAAAGAAACCGGCAACGCCGTCCAAAGTAGCATTTATACTTGAGAAATTGGTTCAGCGGGTCGATATAGAGGGAGACCTGGAGCCAAAACGCAAGATCCCGTCCCGGGTATCTAGAAAACTTAATGAGAAAATGGCGAATGCACGCCGCAAGACGGTTGGCAAATAAACTCGAATCCTGATGAATGTGGGCGTCTTAGTGGAATACCTGTATTGTATAATGAGAGAGAGAAGGATTAGTATTTTCCATTAAATTCAACTACTTTATTTGTTTATCCTTGATAAATACGCGTATTTCGTCTACAATGTGCAGACTTCTTCAGTGTCTTGTACTAATACTCGACTGAAGAAAAACATCGCATTTACCGAATATATATTAACACAGGTACAACGAGTAAGCAGCGGAGTACCTACTCCTATAGAAAATTAAATTTAAGTTTACCTAGTTTCTAAGTGAAAATGTACCTGTGTTAATATATATTCGGTAAATGCGATGTTTTTCTTCTGTCGAGTATTAGTACAAGACACTGAAGAAATCTGCACATTGTAGACGAAATACGCGTATCTGTCAAGGATAAGCAAATAAAGTAGTGGAATTAAATGGAAAATACTAATCCTTCTCTCTCTTATTATAAATAAACTCGTCTAGCTCAGAGTTGATTATAGAAGAGTTGCGCAGACTGAAACCAAAATCTACCTATCGAACTGTCAAACCGTCTACCAATCGAGCATATAGACAAGCTGACTCTGTTGCGTGGGAAGTATTGTTATCGAAACTAGAGAAAATTTCACAACCCAGGTGAAGTCATCCGAGGTGTAAACAAAAACAAAGGTTGACAAAATAATAAAAATGCCCATTGATCTACATCAGTGTTGCAAGCTTCACTCTGCGTAACTCTTCTATTATCAACTCTGATTTAGCTATCAGATATTCAATAGAAATCTATATATATATAAAAATGAATTTCAGTCTGTCTGTCTGTCTGACCCTTATAGACTCGGAAACTACTGAACCGATCGGCGTGAAAATTTGTATACAGGGGTTTTTGGGGCTGGGAATGGTTCTTATGATGGTTTGAGACCCGCCCTCTGTAAGGGGGGCTCCCATACAAATGAAACTGAAATGGCTGCATAGCTCGAGAACTAATCAAGCAAATGGAACCAAATTTGGCATGTGGAGGTATAAGAAGAAGGTCATAGGGGGTAGCCCCTTAGGTAAGAGTGGGGCTATGCTAGTGTAATAGGGAAAATTCAGGTCATTTAGAAGATCAAATTGAAAAATCAGGTAATAATAAAACGTCTCGTTTATGCGTCGATTTTATAAAGCATTAGATTTAAAAACTTGGTCTTGTAAACACTTCACACAATTGTCCGGTAGATCGCTAAAAAATGCTGCAACAATCGTCAAGCTCGCTGTAATGTCACCAAGTGCCTCGTCACCCACGAATTGGCGCCTATGTCAGTGGTCTAATAACTCTTAGCGCGCTAATGGCATAGTTCCCCTGCCGCATAGAGAGTTGCCGCAATGATATTAGGTTAGCTAAGGTCAGTTAACTGACTGGTGGGAAACGGGAGCTTAAGCAATGACTATCATGTACGCATTTTTATGATGTTATCTAACAACAATGGTGTGTAGTGTTTACACGATCATGTTTCTAATTATAATGTGTTGTATTATCGTTCCAATTGAACATCGAAAAACACCACACGTGACTATCGATTTTAATTTCATAACGTCGTACATAGTGCGATCTGAAAACATCAGTGAACAACAACCACGAGGCACAATTGAAAACATCCTAACAACGTTTCGTTGTAACGTTTTGTACACCTGAAAACATCCTAAAAACTTTTGGTTCTAGTAACGGGAATTATCTACATAAGAAAACATCACAATACATATACATATAGAAACATTCGAACAACGTTTGGTTCTTACGTTTTGTACATCCGAAAACATCCCTAAAACATTTGGTTCTAACATCTACATTAGAAAACATCACATCACATTATCTACATTAGAAAACATCAGAATACATTTACATATAAAAACATCCGAACAACGTTTAGTTCTAACGTTTTTTACATCCGAAAACAACCAAAAAACGTTTGATTCTAACATCAGGAAACCTCTACATTAGAAAACATCAGAAAACGTTTACATATAAAAACATCCGAAAAACGTTTAGTTCTAACGTTTTTTACATCTGAAAACATCCAAAAACGTTTGTTTCTAACATCAGGAAACATCTACATTAGAAAACATCAGAAAACGTTTACATTTAAAAACATCCGAACAACGTTTAGTTCTAACGTTTTTTACATCTGAAAACATCCTTAAAACGTTTGGTTCTAATGTCAATAGATTGAAATTTTTGACGTCAGACCGACATTAGAATGGCAAAATTTTGTTCCAAAATTTCTGATGTATACACCATGTTACGTTGCTTAAATACAACTAAATCATAATGTTTTCTAATGTTTGACATCAGGCATACATTTGATTTCGATGCTGATGTAGACATCAGAATCAAACGTTGGGCTAATGTAAATTTCTATTCGGGCTGTTTCGTGTAAAAAGATAATCGTTACGATGAAATACGAACACCACTAAACATTTCCACATTTCACTAATCCCAATAAGGCTGTCCACGAGACAGTTGCGATCAGCTGACTTTTTTGTTTACCAAGAACTTTTGACAGTAGAACTGACAGTTCACTCTCATATGAATGTCTGTTTTGTTACGTTTACATTCAGCACCATTAACACCAGATCGCACACACACTTTTGATTTCTAGCTGTCAGTTCCACTGAGAAACGTCTCTTAGATCACCTTATAAGCTGGTTGGGCCAGACCTTGCATGGGTGGAACAACCAAACGTAAACAATGGCTTTGAATGAAAGAATTGAAAGAATCAATACACACTCACGCAAACTAACAATGTTATTTCAAAGTTCGAGTGGTAGTAAACGTCATTTTAACTGCTCGAATGAAGTGGTTAATTCAAGTATAACAAACATTGCATTAAGTCCTAAGTTACATTGAGAGATTCTCTTCGTCGACTTTCTCTTTGTACCCTTACGGCCATGTATGTATTTTCAGCGCACAAATTGGTAAAATAAGCTTTTATCTAGCATCTAATACGACAAACACAACAAGAAACGGTTATGTGCTCAAGTTATTAACGAAAGAGAAAGTCGACGAAGAGAATCGATCAATTTTATTTAGGACCTAATGCAATGTTCAGCTTGAATTGTTTATATTTGCGAAGGGACACTACATGCTTATGGTTATGAAGTAATGAAATTCGGTTGTTAGCGGAATGCTTAAATACAACAGCAAAAAAAGGGTTGTCTTCCATTTAATTCCACTTAATTAATTTTGGTATCCATGGTTAGGTAGGTTCCGATTCAGCGCATTGTAGTTTCATTTTTATACCTGTGATCTTGACTTTTTTTACCTAGGAGATGAGTACTTAAGGGGGTTAGATTTTGATAAGTTCTTTAGTGGGAATGACACTGATGAAGATGCACATTGTATTCGAAATACGTATCTGTCATGGATGTCTATACGTAGGTGTCAAGGTAAATCTTCTTTCTATCTACTCAGCTTGCGCGCAGCTAACCACAGTGTGAGGTGCACAATTGACTGAATGGATTACCATTCAGTCATAGTGCAATATCCATTGATGAACCCCTCGACGAGCTGTCAACTGCATGAACAGGATGAATCTATTCATCTTCTTTAATCTGTCCACCCAACGACGCTTCAATCAGCAAGCATCTCGTTCGTCCTCTTTCGTCGCAGAGCAGTTGAATAGGTAGGTTGTGCCTGCTCTCCAAAAGGGTTGGGTGATTCCGGTGGGATACGGTCTAAACCTCACACACAGCAAAACAATTTTTTGTTGCATCGTAGATAGAGTCGCCTCCTTCGGTAGAAACTGCGTATCAAATCCAAATTAAAAGAGAACAAACATTGTGCAACCCTGGCATCGTTGGTGAACTTCGTCAAACACCACGCACAAGTTTTCAAAGTGCATTATTGGATTTGGCCTAATGGTCGGATACCATCTTCAATCAGGTTGCCAGAATTTATTTTCACGCCTTAAAGAAATAACAAATCTCCAAGAGGTTCTGTAAAATCCAGGAGGCTGGCAACCCCACACAGCAAAACATAAATTTTAATATTACATCCAAGAGGATGCACTTCAATCATGTCGAAAATATTATCGCCTCAAAAATAAACAAATACAGTAAGAGCAGCGTAATGCCAGTTCATGCACTGTATTGATGATAATTTTGTCTTTTTTGGCATATTTTCGACACGATTGAAGTGCATCCACTTTGATGCGACAGAAGGGTGTTTGATGTGTTTTTGTGGGTGTCAGCACAATGTGGCAGAGTGACTTACCCCCTGGTGCAGGTTGTGCGTAGTACGACGGAAATTAGTTTGTTTTAAAAAAAATCTCCGTCAAACTAATCGGGAAATAAATCTGATTTCAAACTTCCGGATTCTAACTGAAGCACACTTTACTCATTATGAACTGAAACTGACCTAGCGACACAGGCGCTTATCGTTTATTCCATAGCTGACACAGTTACTACAGTAAATGATTTACTAAAATTGTTATGATACCTGAACTGTCAATTCACAAGTTGAGTTTGACGAAAAGCGCTGTGTAAAAAATAATACGAAAAAATGTAACAGCTTTAGGGTCAACGTGTCATCCACTGAAACGTATCTCAAAGGATTCGCCAGACATCTTGAAAGAGCCATGAATTTCCATTTAAATCCTGACATCCATTGCTTGTCACATAATTTCCGCTGCTGTTGATGGAAAATAATTTACCCTCGGCCTCCGGAGTGATGCGACGCGTCTGACCGACTACGGGAAATAATGTGCTCTGTCACGGTCGCCATGTGACGGATGGCTCCGCGGAATATCCTTCTTGAGCTCTGATGGAACGGCGAGGATCAGCATTTTTATGCTAGTTTCAGATTTTATATATTGTTTTATTTATGATGTGGCGAACGTGTTGGAGGTGGTGGGGACTCACACCATTCCCACACAGTCATCACACATACGGGGTTCGGGTGTGCGTGGTGTTAACTTTTAAGTCAACTTATTGCCACACCATCGCACTAGACCGCGCAAGCCGCAGTGTTTACTGTTCACATTATTCA